GGTGCTTTTAGGGTTTCTGCAGGTTGCTGGAGGCCTGTGGGGCGTTTCGACTTTTGTTTAATGCTTTAGGGTGTGTTGAAGCTTTTTTGGGTCTAGGGTTCAGGGAGCTGGATTGATAGACGAGGGTCTCTTTACAGCAGTTCTGTGACAGGCTTACATGAGGGTGGTATGATATAGCACTGAAACGGGAGAATAGGGTTCTCAGGTAGATTATGACACACAAATGTCTTTCGGGCGGTTTGGGGATTTTTGGCCCAGTATAGCTTATGGTTTTAGGGTGTCTCGGCTTCTGAGATTTTGAGAGGTTTAGTGTGCTTCAGGGTTCAAGCGCCCAGGAAACTTACCGTCGGTTAGTAGGGAATGAAAGAATGGCAGTAATAGTAGTTATAATATTACCCCATTCCTCCATTCCCTACTAACCAAAAGGTAAGGAAAGAAATAATGTAGGTTTCTCTACAGCGAATCTAGAGTTTATACACGAAAAATTTAGCTGCGATGTGCTACATGCCCTAGGGGTTGTATGCCTCGAAATCATACCCTCTGACTGCACTTCGAAGAGCAACCTGACAAACACAAAGCCTGTGTCCTCCTGCACACTTTTCAACCGTTCATACACCTTGAACCCCAGAGCCCTTAACCCTGACCCCTAAAGCCCTTAACCCACCAACAAAAAATCCTGTAAACCTAAACCCTGAACCTCTAAAGCCCTAGAACCTAAACCCAAATAACACTAAACCTGAGAGCCTAAATCCAAATAGCCCCAAACGCTAAACCCCACCACCCTGCAACCTGGGCCTTGATCCTCAACCTTAGAACTTTAACGCTACTAGCGCGACATAGTAACCAGGGATAGATACCTATAGTCTCCATTGTAGTTCCTTTTTTTGGGTTAACCAAAAACTCTATTATAGGATCCTAACCATAAAACTAGTTTACAAAAAAAAGGAACTCCAATGGAGGCCATAGGTAGATAAGGTCGTACTTTCTACCCTTCCTTCCTAGCGCCAATGATCCTCCAAGTCTTGCTATCTAAAGCCTGAACTAAACCCGAACACCCTAAACCCTAAAGCCCTCAGCCCCAGACCCTCAAAAGCCCCAAAGTCAACCCCGAAGGATGATAGTGCCCCGAAATGGTTTAAAGCTATCTATTCTACTACTAAGTCTAACGGCCCTACACGCCAAAATCATATAAGCCTAAATCCAAAGAACCCTCAACCCTAAATCCAAACAACCCTAAAGCCCTTTAAACCGCCCACCTAAAACCCTGAACCCTAAACCTTAAACCCTAAAGCCTAAAACCCTAAACCCTAAAGTTTAAAGCCTAAAACCCTAAAGCTCTACACCCTGAAAACCCTAAACCCTAGAAACTCTACAAAACCAAAAACCCATAAAGCCTAAAGCCTAAAACCCTAAAACACCAAAACTTCCTAAAGCCCGAAAAACGCCCTAAAGACGCCCTAAAGCCCCCTGATATAGCACCCTAAATCGTAGGATCCTTATTATACGGACCCCCAAAATAAAGTACCCCTAATTTTCGGAAACTCTAAACCCTAAACCCTTCATAGAACCCTTATAGATCCCTTTGAAGGAACCCTTATAGTAACCCTTAAAAGGAGTCCTAAGGTACCAACACCAGAAAAGAAGGACGGACGGGCACTCCATGAGGCGCCAGTTGCCGAAAGAGTTCCGCCAGGACTGCCATTGGACCTTAACAATTTAGGGCTCTAGGGTTTAAGGTTCAAAGGGGAGAAGGAGTGACCCTTAATAGGGACTTATTAAGGGTCCCTCCTTTTACCCTTGGACTCCTTGGACCTTTGTCAGACCTAAGACTTCACAGTAACCTAAGAATAAGGCTTTAGGCTTTAAGAGTTTAGGGTTTAGGGTTTTTAGGGTTCAGAGCTTCAGGGTTTAGGATTTAAGGCAAGGTTTAGGGTTAAGGGTTTTAGGCTTTAGGGTTTTACTTCAGGCTTTGAAGGTGTACCCTAAGGGTCCAGGTATCTCCTTAGGAGGGTCCGGAATCTTCAGGCTTTATTATTCTTTGTTTTTGGGGGCCCTTTTCCTTCTTGCTACAGTCGGAAACCTAGTAGGTAGAGCCGGGATGAGGACAAGGAGGCATCTTACCTCAAGCTTTAAGGGTTTAGGGTTTAGGGCTCTACTACAGGGTTTAGGCCTAAGGGTTTAGGGTCTATTTAGGGCTCAAAGCTTTAAGGGTTTAGGGCTTTAGGCTTTAAGGGTTTAGAGCTTTGGGGTTTCAGGGTTTAGGCTTTAAGGGTTTAGGGCTTAAGGCTTTAAGAGTTTAGGGTCTAGGCTCACAGTTTAGTTAGGGGTTTACTTGAAGGATCATGGGGCTTAGTAACTAGGGTGACACGTATGAAAACTATACTCATAACTACCGAAAATCCGAACTGAGGTTCTGTTTTAACTTTAGGCTAAGACCCATGATCCTCCAAGTATGGCTTACGGTCTAGTCTCCAGATTCGTAGGATAGAGGGGTTAGGGATTCTGGGAGCTGAGCTTTAGGATGTTCTTGGTTTAGGGGTTTTGGAGCGGGTTTGGCGTAGCTCCGGATGCTTTGAAGCGTTGAGGCGTCAAGTGTGCTGCACATGCCAACGCTACAACCCTAAAGCCCTGAACCCTACATCCTAAAAGCCTAAACTTAAAGTCTAAAGCCCTAAGTAAACCCTAAACCCTTGAAGCTTTAAGCCTTAAATAATCGGCTTGAAGATTTGGTGGCTTTGCTTGGTTAGGTTTGGCAGTGCACGGCGTAGCAAGAACTCAATCATCATGACACACCGCCCCGCAGCAAGATGCGAGCTTTCATACTTCATGGATAACAAACACACCGGAGCGATAATGTCAGACTCTACCTGCATGACCTTGTCACGAACTAGCAGTGCTCACGCTGGGAGGCAACAGCACTCGTCGTCATAGCATTTTGGAACTACTTCACTATAATCAAAAACGGTACTATAGGGGGATGGTCTTTCTACTTCTTCCGAACCCCCACAAAATTCACAGAAACATCCCTGTTTTCCCCGCCAAGTTACCATGACGGAGATGGTGAGGCCGACCGTCGACCCCTGTGGTCTAGCATTTCGCGGGCTTGGGACTGAAGCCCTAAACTCTCAACCCTAAACCCTAAACCCCTACACCCTAAACCCCAAAGCTTAAACTCTAAACTCTGAATCCTAAACCCGAAACTCTAAACGCGGAACCCCAAATGAGCCCTATAAACCCCAAACCAAAATCTCGGAACCCCAAACCCCCCAACACAAAAGTCCGAGCCCTAAGCCCTAAACTCCATAAGCTCTAACCTCGAAAGTCTGAGCTCCAAACTCTACTCAAAGGGGAAAAGCAGGGACCCTTAATGGGGACCCCTACTCTATAATGGGCCATATAGTGGGTATATAATAGCCAAATTAAGGGTATATACCTAGGGGTCCTTATTAAGGGTCCCTCCCTTCGCCCTTGGATCTACCTGAACCTAAACCCCAAAGCCTAAACGAAGGGTTTCGGAGGCCAGCGATTCCAGGACCCCCAAGGACTTAGTAACTTTAAAGCGTTCAGTTACAAGGGTCTCTGAAAGGGATCTGTAAGTCGGAGTTTAGGATTACTTAAAGATCATGGGACTCAGTAACCAGGGTTGTAAACAAGGCAACTGAAACAACGACACACGCGCACACACACGCTGACGCATGTGCAATCATCCGGCTATGAAGGCACGGATCTCAAAACAGGTCTCAAACACCGCCTAAGTATGCTCCTCCATGCTCCGCTCGTATAGTCGTCCATATTTCTATACCCGACTCTATCCTGGACCTTAAACCCTCATACACCCTCATGAGTTCTCTTTGCCCGGCCAAGAACCTCCCGGCACAGGTGAAACACTCCTTTCTGAGTCCACCGAGGTTTGCACCCCACTTTCCCTCCTCGAACGTTGAAACAAGTTGCTCTCATCGCATGGTGGCATGATTTTGCAGTACCGTCTCGTATGGATACCCTAAGGCCCCATAGTAGCTCCTTTGGGGGATTACTTGAAAGGATTCTAAGTTCTAAGTGTAAACCCCAAAAAGGAACTACTATGGGGCCTTAGGGTAGTTGTACAATGACAGGCCTCGCGGGCTCCGGCGTGCAGGGTGCCACTGCAGTTCGCAAGGGAGCGGAAGTGGGAACCGGCACTCCGCGATACGCCATGGCCCTGTAGACGAAACGTGCCCCAAAAAGGGTCTATAAGGAACATATAGGACGTCATAGTATCAGTGTAGGGCTCACACTTTTCAAGGGTCATTTAGTCCGCAATTGGGGGCTTTGAGTCTGGCAAGATTTCGTGTCCTATGGAGTCGGCAGCTTACGGATGCTGAAGGTGTGCAAAAGTTTCTTTATGGGTTTGGCTAGGAGACTTCTGCAGGGTTCCGTGGGTCTTAACCTATCAGGGCGGGCGTTGATCATACGGCCTGCTGCAAACAATACGCATGAAGCGACCTTGAGCCACAAGAACAGCAAGCTCCCGACATCCGGGCAAGCAGCTCCAAGCAACCAGGGTTTCCGGTGTAGGCGCACCCTATCGATGGGTTAAGTTCTATGGGTAGGATCCTGTAGCAGGTTCAATCCAGGAGACTTAATAGTTGACAAGACTGACTGAGGACTTCCTCCTTCATTTCATTGACATATGCCCCGAAGCAGGCAGCGGAAATCCCTCAACCATGGACACCTGGCCTGGCATAGGATCTGAACCATAACCCTGGAATCAAGGATTTCTGAAGGAACCCTGTGTTCCAAAGGCTTTATAGCAACCTAACCCCCCCAGTATCCCCAGCCCAACACCCTACAAGCCCTACACCAAACCAGACTTCACGAGATGGATTCGGGCACCCTTTTCTGCTGGCAGAAGCGGCTCAGCCGCGCTGTCAGTTGTGCGATTTTGGTGAGACTCGGAGCCTGCAGGAAAAATGTAGGTTCTTGGCTTGTCGTTTCAGGTCGGGCTGCCATGCATTTCTGTATCACCTTCCTTCAGCTTTGGCTTTGCACTCGTCGGGGCTGTAGTGGGTGCCACGCACCGTCCCACCGCCACAGTCACCTCGAGGACCAAATGACTCCAAAATGAAAATATGGCCATATCCCCTTGTACTATGTATTCCTATACCGTATAGACCCTCAACAAGATACATTTCGACCGCAAGGCACCGAGATTTTTCCAGGCAAGCCGAAAGTTCTCGCTGAGCTCAATAGCCTTGGCGTAGCACTCCTGCCAAACAATACTTTCACGGCGCGGATCTTAGGTTCAGGACTTCTTAGGGTTTAGGCGGTTGAAGGCTTATAGGGCTGAGGATTTGCAGATTTATCCTAAGCAGCTTCGTATACGTGAAATCCTGCATGGACCCTCGAACCGCTCCCCCTTAAAGTACTCCCTATAGGGGTACATTGGGCCCAAAGTATATACTGTTTGGGTACATGGGCCCTTAGGGTTCCGTAAGGAGCCCAGGTCCTTTGGGCTGTAGTCCTTCCCCTGCACGGTGCCACCGCCGACAAGTCCAAGCCCGTTCCAGGCATAGTGCCACTTCTCGTCAAGCTCAGCTGATTGCAGATAACAGTCCTGCCCATGGTCTACACCTACAGTCTGCAAATTTATACTGTGGGATCCTAACCATAAAGCTGTTTGACCAAAACAGACTAGTTACAATGGAGACTACCCTAATTAAACCCCAGAACCCAAACCTCTAAACCATAAACACTGAACCTTGAACCCACACCTCCGTCTTAAAACTTCCCCAACAGCTTTGTTGCAGGCGGCAGAATCAGCACCGACACAAACCCCCTAAACCCCGAAGCCTTAAACCCCAGTTCAAACCTGAACCATCCGAAACCCTTAAACCCCTAAAGCCTTAAACCCTGTGAGCCCTAAAACCCTAAACCTCGAAAGCCTGAAAACCCCAAACCCCTAAAACCTTAAAGCCCTAACTTGGATGCTGAGTTCATAAGCCCCAGAAAGCGTAAACTTTCAGTTTTATGGTGGGTAATATTATCCCAAAATGTGTAGTGTATCCACTCAGCTACTAACCCTATGCTTCCAACAGACAGGAAAACCTTGGGCGTTGACGTTGGGCTAAGGAAAAGTTAGTCTGTTCAAAAATCCGGTTTGAACCACTCCATTTTCCCCCCTAGCAGGGCCCATGCCCATTAATGTTCAGCGGGATCCCAACAGCCGCAAATTCCCCCGACTGGGTTATGAGACCCGTTGGCCCGCACAGCTACATTTTACCCCGCTCAGTTTGGAGACCCGCCAATCCGAACAGCCTAACTTTTCCAGGGGTCGAGCAAGAGCTTTCGTAGAGGAACGGCGGGCCGTCCAACACCCCACTCACGGTTACTTACGGTTTTCTCACGCTTCCTTTTGGGGTCGAGCGGCTTGTTGGCTTTGGTCGGCATTTCGGGTGAGTGGTCGGCCAAATGCGTCCGCTTCTGTTTTTGTGCACTTTGAAACTGGTCGTAAAATGCGGTCGCTCAGGGGTAAAGTGCCGCTGTTGGGAACAGCCTGGAAAAGTATGGCCGCAGAGGCGCAGGGTAAGCTAAACCCTATAAGCCCTAAAGTAGTTCCTTTTGGGGGTTCATATATAGAATCCTATAGGATAATCCCAAAAAGGAACTACTATGGGGCCTCTGGGTATATAAGCCCTAAAACCCCAAACTCTCACAACCTGAAGACACCCCCGGCCTTCTCGCTGTACCCTTTGCCCTTCACGGTGCCACCGCCTACAGTCCCAAGGCCGCACCATGCCTTTGGTCTTAGGGTCGTTTAGGGTTTAGGGTTTAGGGTTTAGGGTTGATTAAGGAGTATACCTTAAATCATAGTAGATCCCTGATATGGTTTAGGGTGTATTCCTGAATTAAGGGGGTAAAGGGAACTCCAGAAAGTTGGAATATGGGTTTCATGGTAGGATTACCCTATAATTTACCATAGAAGGGTTTAGGATAATCATATTCCAACTTTCTAGCTTTTGCTTTAGGGTCTTAGGTTTTTTTTTGAGCTCCTTTTTACGGCTGCCCATGCGTCTGAGCTTAGGGTCTTAGGGTCTAGGGCTTGGGGCTTGTGGGGTTTTTTTGGGTGTATGGTTTGAGGTTTGGTTTTTGGGGTTTAGAGGTTTGGGGCTTCGGGTTTAGAGGTTTAGGTCTGGGCTTAGGGGTTTGGGGTTTAGGCCTTGGCATGTTTGTCATCGAGCTCGATAGCCTTCAGGTAGCACTCCTGCAGGGTGACGGCGCGGGAATAGCAACGGCGTGCCCAGGCTACGTTTGGGCTCGAAGCTGTGTTTAGGGTTCAGTGCGTATGGTTTGGGGTTCAGGGTTTGGGGTCTGCGGTTTAGGGATTAGGGTGTGGGGTTTGGGGTTTAGGGTTTAGGGTCATGGGGTTGAGGGTTTAGCGCCTACTGTTAGGGTTTAGGGTTTAGGGACGTATAGAGCTTCTACAAACTAGGAATAACAACACTAGCAATCATCATAATCACAAGTGCAATAGTACTAGCAACGCTTGCTTCAGGTCTTCTGTCTACTTTGAGGGTCAGGCGGCTTAGTTATAAGTACGAGTAGGGTTGTAGTAGTTCTGGCGTTCTGGGTTTAGGGATTTCAAGCTTTAGTGTTCGCTGCCTCAACACTTTGGGGGTGTAGAGTTTGGCTATGCTGCCAAAACGAACAGAAAAAATGGGCTCATGTCATGTAGCCTTGATTCCACCCAACACCCAACTAAACTACAGATACCTCCAGGACCTAGTCCTATAATACATGTATTGGGATGTTCTTAGTACATACTTGTTCCGACTCCTACATTACGCTGCCTTGGGTTCACGTCTTGCGATTTGACGGAGCTGGGTCGAGGGTTTGCTGTTTACGTCTGGGGTTGAGGGGCTTAGGGTTTCCAAGGATCTGGAGTTTAGGGATTTAGTGTTTAAATGATACTTAAGGGTTTAGGGCCCCGGCCACGTCCTTGAAACTGTGCTTCTTCCCCTTCACAGTGCCGCCGCCCAGGTTGTACCAAGCATCCGCATAGTTCTCATCCAGCTCGAGCACTTTCACGTAACAGTCCTGCTAATTAAGAACAACTTTTTAAACAAGTATCAAATTATAATTGCTGTAAATCACTGTTTATGTATCTAATCCTAGATTATTCTGCAGGGCAGCGGCCCAGAACTTAGACAAAACGAGCTAGGAACCCTAAAGCCTGACAACCCTCTTCCAAGGCGTAGACCCACCCTAAAAAGCCTCGAAGCCTAAAGGTTTTGGTTTAGGGTTTACCTATAGTCTCCATTGGAGTTTTTTTTTTGGTAAAGTAGATTTATGGTTAGGATCCTATAGTAGAGTTGTTGGTTAACCAAAAAAAGGAACTACAATGGAGACTATGGGTAGGGTTTAGGGAGTCAGGAGCTGCAAACCCTCCAGAGTTTCTTTTGGCTTCAGAGGCTGATGCTAGGCCTGTCGGAAAACGGTTTCGAGTGCTCAGCCACAGCCAACTTCCTTCTACCGATGGCTGGCTCAAGCATTGTCTGTGGTTGAACGTTTCGGCTTGTTTACATGCTGCTTCGGGTTAAGAAGTTTAGACTCTTTTGTGTTCAGAACCTGTGCCTTCAAGGTAACGTTGACCTATACGCAGTCGAGACGAAATGGATGAAATGAAATGGGTCCATGTATCCAAAAATTTTGACAACACCAACTTTGCACCACACAAACCTGCGCAAACGACAACCTCTGCTTGCAAGCAACATCCCGCAACAACATCTGGGCTTCGTCGGCTTATGAGGAAGAGGCCAAAACGCCATGCAAGCCCCACCCATCTCAGTGAGTGGGAGAGCGAGGAGGAGGATAAAGCGAAGCCAGAACGAGCCCGACAGAAGAGGAGCTCCCTTTTCATACTGTTCAGCCTCAAAGCAAGTCGAATAAGGCTTTGACGAGTGGCTTTATGCAGCAAGAAAGGACCAGTATTCGTAATTTTTCAAATTCACCAGAATCCCATGGTATGAGGAACATAGGCTGCTCAAGGTCAAGCAGGAAGCGCCCCGACGTAGGTTTTGGGCACTTGGTGTCGTAGGTTTCCTAATTCCTGGAAGCTGCTGGTGACTGGGCAAAACGAAAGAAGGAGGCTCACCTATAACCAAATATATAAGTCGGATCCTATAAGGTAACCCCCAAAAGGAACTACAATGGAGACTACAGGCAGAATCGGCTCGGCTCCGCTAAAGCCCAGGAGCCGCAAAGTCTCACAGCCCCAATCCGGTTCCTGCGAGCTGTGCTTCTTTCTGTTCACGGTGCCGCCGCCCGCTTCTCCCAAGTTGTACCAAGCACTCACATAGTTCACATCCAGCTCGACTGCCTTCATGTAACATGCCTGCCGGGCAGCATCGTGGGCAAAAACAATTGTAACTGTAGCTATACATATTACCAACATATACATGCAGGTGTATATACACACACATACACATGCACATACATATGCTTGTACTTATACAAATACCTAAACCTCCCAAAGTAGGTAAAATTATTGCCCAATACCTACAAAAAAGCCATTATTCTACATACTTTGGGGGTTCAGGTAAGTCTTTGGTCATGCAATCTTGATGTTTCACGGAGTTCTCTTGGGTGTCTTTGGGGCTCCTACGTCTCCTCATATCGAGGCCTTAATCACTAGAACAAACTTCTCTTTGAGGGGGGGAGGTATAGTATGCTATATTTATCATAAGGTCTAGGATTGACTATAAAATTGGGGTTTAATTTTTCGGTGGTATAGTATGCTATATTTATAATAACGTTGAGGTGTAGGGCTGTTCATAAAAACTTGGGTTTATTTTTTGGAGGGGGTATAGTATGCTATATTTATAATAATGTGTGTGGTTTATTTTTTTCTGGGGGGGGGGGGTATGTATGCTATATTTATGAGGTTTAGGGTTGTTTATAAAATTGGGGTTTAGGTTTGGGGGGGGGGGATAATATGCCATATTTATAATAAGGTTTAGTGTTGTTTAGGGTTTAAGGGGAACCCCAACATTTCGGAGCAGCGGAAACAGTGCCCGGAAGCGGTAAAGCATCAGACTGCCCCGACACCCCGTCCTTCGAGATGTATCTCTTTCCTGAGTTGCTGAGCTCATAAGCCCCCAAAAGTGTACACTTTCAGTTTTAAAGTGGGTAATATTATCCCAAAAAGTGTAAAGTGTATCCACTCAGCTACTAAGTTTCCCTTCACGGTGCCGCCACCAAGAACTCCGAGGTTGTTCCAGGCACAGGCATGGTTCTCATCGATCTCAAGCGCCTTCACATAGCTCTCCTGCTCAATCCGAAACCCTGAAATATTAATCAAACCCGAAACCGTAAGCTATAAAGCCCTATCTGTATTCCGAAACCTTTTGAGAAGCCTAGACCCTAAGAGCTGGAGAGGGAGCTGCTCCCTAGGATCCTGACTCACATTGACCTAAGACTTCAGGTTTCGCGTTGAAGCTCAAGCTCTGTCCTTCTTCGTGTGGGACTTGCCGTTGCGCTCTCCCCCACCTTGCAGGCCCAAATCGTACCAGGCCTGACACTACCCAAAGGCCCCATAGTAGTTCCTTTTTGGGGTTCATATATAGAATATTATAAGGTAATCCCAAAAAGGAACTACTCTGGGGCCTATGGGTAGCGGGTAGCAGGGAACTAGGGTGCGTGTTTTAGGCTGTAGGTTGCACGGTTCAGGGATTGTAGGGCTTCGGCGATCAGGTTTATCGTGTGCATTCATGCTTTCAGGCTTTAGGCTCTAAGGCTTCTATAAAGTCTGTTCCATTAAGCTTCAGCACTTCAGGTCTAGGGTGGAGCAAGGGTTTAAGGTTTAGGGACTTGGGTTTGGTATAGGGCCCCACCTTCTAAACCACGCTGCAATTACGGAAAATGCTTGAGGCTGCCATCCGTTCGCTGTTGCTCCATTTCGAAGGGAAAATCAATACTTCCGTGGAGACACCCGCATCGCCGGATCACGACAAGTACGTAGATTTCACCCCGTTATCTCCTGCACGGTGGAAGACTATGGTCGCAATATACGCGACAATCATCCATGTTGCTTTGAACCGTATAAACCCGAAATCCCGTACCCCAAACCGTAAATCCGAAATCCTATACCCCAAACCCTGGCCCTAAACCCTAAATGGCCCAAACCCTAAATCCGAAATCCTATACCCCAAACCCTAAATCCGAAATCCAAACCCTAAATCCTAAATCCCATACCCCGAAATCCTAAATCCGAAATCATAACCCCAAACCCTAAATCCGAAATCCTATACCCCAAACCCTACACGGCCCAAACCCTAAATCCGGAATCCTATACCCCAAACCCTAAATCCCAAATCCTATACCCCAAACCCCAAACCCCTGCAGTCTGCCTTTGCTTCTGCGACATCCGCAGGGCTTGATGAAGAGCTAGGGCAGCTAGGGGCTGCAACCTTCGCGAGACAAGGGGTTGTTTACCACGGTTGGTGATATAAATCCTGCATTACTTTAAGGACCCTAAACTATGGGAATTATGGTATATTCCTTATTATGGGTCATGCAGGATGTATATCATCAACAGCAGGACAGCCCAAGTACCCTTTAACAGAGCCCTTATGACCCTTAATAGTGCAAATTTAGGGTACAATAGAGGGTAGCTGGGGATCTAGGTAGGATTTACCGTCTAGGACTTAGGGTGCAGGATCTAGGAGAAATTTTATTTTCTTAGTGAATGACTTTGGGAATCTCTGGGAACCTGAATCAGATTGCTTGCCTTCTTGCTTAATGGCTATCCGGACTGCTGTCTCATTGCTCACTCAGACTTCTCGTCGCCACCTGAATGTGGATAGAATTATATGTACCTGCTATGTGTATATACGTGTATGTATGTATCTATATGGATACCCACATAAACAATGACAGAGCACATCTAACAATTGCGCCATACATATGTTTATACATATAGTTATATATTTGCGCCTATATACTTGTGTATACACACAGAAATCAAGATTTAACACACCTGAAAATTGTGCTACAAACATACATATATGCATACATACATGCATGCATGCATGTCTGTCCATATACACACATGGTGTATATATATATATATATACATACATATATATATATATATACATAGAGAGAGAGGTGTGTGAGAGTGTGCGTATGTGTGTGTGTGTGTGTCTGCTGATAATCGCATATGCATGTATAAGTAAGTGCCGGTGGCTGGTGATGCGCTCGCGGTTTCAATCCTAATAGTCGATCTCGTTTTGCAGGACACAGTCAGACCCTAACCCTCATTACATAATGCCCGAAGATACCTTAAGCAAACCTCGAAAGCTGAGCACTTTTAACCCCCAACACCCAAAAATAACAAACTCAACACCCCAGAACCCCTAAACCCTAAACCCCTAAACCCTAAACCCTAAACCCTAAACCTTAAACCTTAAACCCTAACCCCTAAACCCTAAACCCCGAACCCCTAAACTCCCCCAACGCCGGCCTTGGGCTCGCCTGCGGCAGTATCCGCAACGGCCTCCGATTCCTGCTGGAAGCTTTAGGGTTTAGGGTTTAGGGTTTAGGGGTTTAGGGTTTAGGGTTTAGGGTTTAGGGGTTTAGGGTTTAGGGTTTAGGGTGTGTGAAGACTTTAAGACTCTGGGGTTCTGGGGCATAATTAAGAAAACATCCGATAAGAATCGTCTAATTGCATTGAGATATGTAAGTGCAAAAAGACCTTGAATTGTGGATTCCTAAGGCTCAATGATGCGTTCATGATGGTTTAACGCCCTGCAAATGCATGATATCCCTCGGCTGAACCACTCAGACATGAAGAAATCCTGGGCTTTCGGGGCTATGGTTCAAGGCTTATAGGGATTCAGGGTTTAGGGCCTGGGACATTTTAGAGCCAAGCCCTAACATCCCAAAACCGCAACCCTAAAGCCTACACTCCCAGAGCCGAAACCCTATACCCCAAAACCTCAACCCCAAAACCGAATCCCTGGACTCGAAACCCCAACCCCCAATCCCTAAACCCCAAAGCTCTAAACTTCTAACCCTCAACCCGAAACACCAAAACGGAAACCCTAAACCCCCAATCCCCAAACCCGAAACCTGCATACCCTCAACCCTTGTAGACCCCCTTTTCAGGAACCCTATTCCAATTATCAAGGGCCCGGTATTAAGCACCAAGAAAGGGTTACCGGCCTTGGCTTTCCGCAAGGCTGGGGCGATCGGCCCCGCGAGAATCGGTGACGAGGCACCAGCACTTGCCTGTGGATCCGAAACCCGTTTAGGGTTTACTTGGAGGGTCGGGGGACATAGTAAGTAGATAATGAGTAGAGTTATAAGTACCCGAAGCGGGGTCCTAATTGGGGTTATGGTAGTTACAACTCTATAAATCGACTACTTAGTACGTCCCTATTCACGAACTAATCCAGCACCTAGAGTACCTTGATTCCTCTTGTTTCCGGCATAGCCGTATAGGTATAGGAGTTTCAACAACAAACACCGGGCAGCTCCGTCCATCCCGTGATCATCTGCATGTTTCGGGTGTAGGGTTCAGAGCCTACTATAGGCGCTATAGAACGCGGTCTAATGTTTCGAGCTTAGGCTCTAAGAGGGTTCAGAATCACCTGCACATGGCCCATCTCAGACCACTGTTCGCCACCGCTTCTTCAGCTATAGCTACAGCTACCTTGCTTTCATTTTTGTAGGAAGCCAGGGAATAACCTTAAAGCCCTAAGATTATGCCCCTAAGTTCTATTCAAACCCCACGTTCTGACAAGGCAAAGTCCCAAATCTCGCGGAAACCTTGCCTTGACTTCCGGCCCAGTCGCTGCGGCGGCGCTCGATGAAGGGCCAGAGTGCGCAGCCTCGCAAAGGCCGCAGGGCTTCGGGCTGATAGGGTTTATAGGATAGGGGGTTTATAAGGTCTACTTGCCTTTGGTTTCTAGGTAATAGTAGTTATAACTGTACCCCATTCCTCCATTCCCTACAAACCAAGGGTAAGTCTCTAGGATGTTTTTTGGCCCCAATATTCTAGTACCCTTATCGATCCCTTACAGTAACCCTTATAGACTCCTTTTTAAGGCCCCTTGGGTTTCAGGATAGCTCGCAGCCTCGCGAAGGCCTCAGGGTTTCGGAGCTCGGGTTTATGGGTCTCGTGTTTGCTTTGTTTATAACTACTATTTGCTTAAGAACCACCCAAAAAATAAAAAATATATTCCTTATGGGGGGGTAATATAGGGATTATTGTTTTTATTTTTTGGTGGTTTCTTAAGCAAATAGTAGATAAGGGCATGAGGAGTTGATTGCTCTACTCCAAAGCCCGAGCACTCCATATTCATGTTTAGCATAATTTTGGGGGCCGCAACCTACTATTCTGCGGGATCTCGGGCAACAGGCGACCCCGAAACCCTGCTTCCCCCGTGGGACCTAGAGCAAGAGCACTTGGTCACCAGCAGCAAAGCATGTTCGTGCTGCGAGGATCACCAGAATGAGTTTACCGGTCGAGCGCGTGCAAAGAACTGATACCAAGCTGCTCCTCAGAAAGTAGAAGCTGACTACATACTGCAATTCTCCAGACGTCTCATCACTGGCTTGACTTGCAAAGGCTAGGCTAGGTCGAACATCTTGAGGCCAAGTATAAGTGTCAAGCCATATGTCACACATGTAACCAACCTAACTGCGGTCTGCCTCTGTCGGCTTCTGGTACAGCTTCTCCGCGATTCTGGCAGCGATCCAGTGCGCATCCTTCCCCCTGCAATCCACGTAGATTTGGCTTGGGGGGATCGCCAGAGCCAGCAAGCCTTCGGCCTTCCCCTCCTTGTCGTAGGGATGCTCTGGACCCGAGGGGGGCTCCGGTGGCCAGGGATCGTCGCACACTCTGAGAGGGAGGATATCGATGTCGTGGCCATGGGCAAACTTGACTTCTTCATAGGAGGAGTACTTCGAGTTGGTGATCTCGCCGTAGTGCCAGGAGCATACGGAGAGCATCACACCCTTGCGCTTCCGGAGGCGCCCCAGAAAAATCGCAGTAGAGTCTCCGAAGTCGCCTCCTGCTCCTTCTTCCACCATCAGAACCGAATAATTCAGATCCTTTAGGATCTTGTAAACTTGTCGGAACAGCCTCTCCGTCTCCTTGCCATCAAATCTGGCAGAAAACATTCCTTCCCGAGAGCCTGTGCCGTCCGGTATGGCCTCCTTGCCGCTCACCTGGCACAAGGCACTCTGGCGAAAAACCCTCAACAGAAACAAGCTGTAACTACGAAGCTCAAAGCCAATGAGCCCTCTGCCTGGAAGAAACCACCACACACCCCAAACATGCCCATACTCCCTACGACCACGCCCACACTGTGTCAAGCGAGACAAGCAGGCTGCAGCCATCGCTTCGCTCCTGGAGCGAAGGCATCGATTCTTCAAGCACCCTATCGCCTATCGGGTTCCTTTCTATAGCTTTTTATAGAGTATACCCCGCAACAAGACTCGATTTATTTGAAGCTGGGGTTCCACGGATCAGGCGTCCATTCAGGTTCGACATTCTGGACCCTCGGCTACTCTCGCTTGGTGCATCTGAGGGCCTGCTTGCTCGGAATGATTTGGTCGCGGTCTTGACTTTGTCTGCAGCCAAGCACATCGTTGCTCTTCTAGCTTGGGAAGATCGGCTTTATTCGGTTTCTGTGCCTCTATGCCATTTCAATACCCTAAACCCTGAATGAGACCATAAGGGAACTCAAAAAGTGTCCCAAAGCTCCACCTAGTAAACCCTACATAAATCCTAAGCTTCGAATAGAAAAAGGCATCGGGACCCGCTGCTTCAAGGCAGGAGCTGTCCCGGACTGAGGCATTACTTTAGGGTTTAGGGTTTAGGGATAGTAGGGCGTTGGGTTCAGGATGTCGGGTTTAGATAGAGTAGTTTCCATTGTGTGTTTTTGTTTGAGGGGGGGTGCAACCAGTTTTATGTCAAGGATCTCGGTTTTGGTTGTAGCCCAATTAAATCCTAGTTTAATCTTATATCTAGGATCCCATAAATGAAGGTTGCGCCAAAAAAAGGAACCACCGGAGACAGGATGCCAAGAACTCCAACGGCTAGCAAAGTGCCGCGTGGCCTTTCGGGATACGGGAACCCGATTGGGGCCTTTATGTGAAGACTTTGAGCTCTTTAAACAGGGCTACCGCCCCAGCTCTGCGTTGTGTTGGCTCCTGTTGCTGCTGGTTCAGAATGCGTCGTTCGTGTACATGACAACATCGCGTCGGAAGTCGTGCAGAGGTGCCACGAGTGTCGTTGAGCTGCACCAACAACAATCACTGGCATCAACGTCATCACCATAATCATCACCACTATAACCATCATCGTTACCATCACCGTCACCATCAGCAACAGCATCGCCATCGCCATGGCTGTGGCCACCATCATCATCATCACCATCCTTCACATCATCGTCATCATCAGCATGATCATAGCAATCGCTTTCCACAAGAGTACCATCCAGCCGTCAGGACGGCAAGCAGTCTGAAAGTCTAAGATACGGTGATCGAACGTCAGGGCATGCTCAAGGGCTTTAGGCTCGCGGCTCGCGTCAGAAACTGCGCAGAAATCCAAAGGGTTACGATCAACAGTATGGAAGATATATATATATATATATATATATATATATATATATAGATAGGCTGATAGGATTTTTATGGTATATGATGTGGCCAACGATGGGTCGGACAACGAAAGACCTCCCCCTGGCATAACTAGCGGTCCTTCAAGTGCTCTGCAGCACAAAAAACTGCTCAAGCGATCGTGGCTTCTGCCAGCTGGACCTGCATCCAGGAGCCCCTGCCATTAAGGAGCTCACAGCTTTCTATTACGGGGCGGTGGTGTATCGACAAATTGCGTGCGGATCAGGTTCGACCACAAAACGGAATTGAAACATTCCCGAACCCGAAGACCACCCTTGAACTCCCAAAACCGCCTCAGCCTCAAAAGTCTGTAGACCTTTCAAACCAGTTGACCTTACAAACATAACTCCAAGCTGAAACTCCTCAACCCCTACACACCAAATCAACCCTAAAGCCATGCTGTTGAGCAGCAGAGCTACCGATGACGTGGACACCGCCTCCTAAACCATAAAGCCCAAACTCACCTCCCGCGAGTCCATTGCTTGCATCGCGAAGTCTCGGGATTTTGGGGCTGCGGGTGCTGTTTTAGGGTTCTGTAGAGGGTTCGAGGGTTTAGGGTTTCAGGTTTTGCTTTCGGGCTTAGGGCTCGGCTTTAGGGTTCTTTAGCTTTGAATTTGGAGTTTTGCTTCAAGGTTTGGGGTTGTGGGGGTTATGGGTTGTGAAACAGGCTCCGACTTCAGGGTTGAGGGTTATAGGGTGGCGGGTTTGGGTAGCTGAGGGATTCTTGCGGTGTCTGGAGATGTTGGCGGATGATGGGCTCAAGGCTGCAGCTCGGGTGGCTGAAGCGGGCTGTGGGCCGAAAGCTGCAGTAACGGATGTTGGGAATGATGGCCCCTCCATGTCAATGTTCTCTCCTGCCTGTGGTCAAAATCGTCGGGCTGCGACGGTGGAGTGGACGACAAGTGCACAATGAGTATGCCGCCGCGGCGGCTGATGATCATGATGATCATGGTGGTGATGATGAAACTGAGGATGATGGCGACGATAACGATGATGATGATGACAGTGATGATGTAGTATCCAGTCATAATGACAACACTGAGCAGTGCTCCAGAACGATATCGAAACGCCCATAAACTACTCAACAGGAAGGGGCCCGGGAGCTCGAGGCTGAAACGATTGCCTCACTGAGCATCATTAGTTACATGGATTTTCGGATATTACTAAACCCTGAACCATCCTGAATCCTAGTGGTTAGCTACTTGCACGGTTTTTGATAATGATGAAGGTTAGCACTTGGGAGAGAATGTGACTACATATTAGTCCCTGTAAGCCTTTAAGCTTAAAGCCCTATGCCCTAAATCCCTCAACCCTAAACCCTGAGCCCCTAAACCCTAATCCCTAAACCCTGAAGTAGCAGATACTCGGACGCTACAGCATCGAGGGGATTCGAGTGGGGAGTCGAAGCTGTCAGGATGACCTTAGGGTTTAGGGTTTAGAGTTTAGAGTTTAGGGTTTAGGGTTCTCGCAGACGCACTGCACCCTGGAAGCCTCCATCAACCGTTACTTGAAGGATCATGGGACTGTACCTGGGATTGTAAATAAGGTATCCATATACTTCTACAAGTACCTATCACTTGGGTAAGACAAGTATATCCTTACATACGACGAAGTCCTATGATCCTCCAGATACTGAGCCCTACCGTAAGCTACGAGTGCAGCACAAGCCCTATAAACCCTAAAGCCGCACCCGAAAACCCTCAATCCTGCAGCGGTAAGGCGGTCCAAACCGCACATTGAATTTCAGAAATATACTTCATATACTTCTCTGGCTCAGTTGGAGCTGTCAACACACTGCTACTGTCTCGGATACTTAGGGTTTTGGGGCTTAGGCTATGGCCTTATACTTATTTTCGCCTTTTAACATCTTTCAGCCCTGCTTCGTTTTTCGACTAACATAGCCATCTCAGAGGCTTCGCTCGCGAAGAAAGAGGAAGAGCTGCTTCGAAAGAGAAAGAGAGCACAGGTATGTGATGGAGGGGTTCAGGCTCACAGGATTTCGAGGCTTTGGTGAAGAGGGTCGATCAGAAGCATCTCGTTCTAACTGACACACGGCTCTGCCGGGATGTCGACTGCACTTAACTTGGGTGATACCTGGAGCACGCGACTGGTTTCCGGAAGGCCTAAGGACGAGCTGCAGAGCCATGGAGCCACAGCTTCTGACAGAATTCAGACAGTAAGCCGACGCTCTCAGAAGCTACTTCCCTTTGGCTTTGGCTTCGCACTCGTCGGGGCTGTAGTGGGTGCCGCACACGGTCCCCCCACCAACGTCACCTAGATTTCGCCAGAACATGGGCTCGTGCGAAGGATTCTCGTTCAGCTCGAGGGCCCTCACGAAGCAGTCCTGCGAGGCAATGGCCGCACTGGCCCCACGTCTTCGTCTGCACTAAGTACCCTGTAAATCAGTCTGGGTCTAGGAGTCTAGCCCACTCTCTGTGCAAAGCGCAGCAGCACGGCTGCACAGGAACAACTCCGTGCAGCTTTATGGTCTTGGGTTCATAGTCATAGCTTTTGGTTTCAAGGAGCTTCGGTTGTCTTTGCGGTCATCGTTTGCCTGCCTTATACGACTGCAGGAAGCTGCGCAGCGGGGAGAGCCTAAGGCTTGGAGGGTGCGAGGCCGGAGCGGCAATTTCAAGGCATCTCAATGACTGCGGTTTCAAGGAGCTTCGGGCGTCTAGCTCCAAGATCGGGATCCGAGGCCGGAGCAGCAAATGGCTGTAGAGTGGCTAGGCTGCGCAGCTTGTTTTTGAGGGAGGTTTTTGGGCGTTTGGGACTGTGCATGCATGGGTGTTTTGGGAGCATTCGTAGTTTAGGAAGTTTAGGACTTCTTTGGCCCTCACTGGGCTGGAGGCTGGCTTTGCAGGGGTTTGGGGGCTATAGGGATTTGGAGTCTCTTATGGGGCGTCAAGCTTCAAGGACCTCGGGCGTCTTCAAGGTCATTGTGGAATTTCCCTGCTCAGCCGGCAGTAAGAATCTAAGAAGTTTGGGCCTCCCATTTACGGCCGGAGCCAAGGACTGCGCCTGCAGGTGGATGTTTTGAGAGGATTCGTCGCTTAAGGACTTCTGTGGCCCTCACTGGGCGGGGGGCTGGCTTTGCAGGGTTTTAGGGGCAGGGCCAGGGATTTGGGGTCTCTTGCGGGGCTTCAGGCTTCAAGGAGCTTCGGGCGTATAGAAGGTCATCGTGAAATTTCCGACTTTGACTGCGGAAACCTGCTCAGCGGGCAATTACAAGCTTGGGCCTCCCATTTACGGCCGGAAGCTGCAAACTCTGACAGGCCCCAAGTCAAGCACCCCGCCCGGTCCTTTGCATCATAAGCCTGGCCCTTCACGGTGCCACCGTCTTGATTTCCGAGACTGTTCCACGCAATCGCATAGTTCTCATCCACCTCCACTGCCTTCACGAAGCAGGCCTGCAGGGCAGCGGCACCGGGGGTAACGACTTGGCGCCCTGGCTGACTGTAGACTTCCAGCATCCATATGTCTAAAACTGTTTTTGTGGGCGGATATTGGGCGTTTGGGATTGCGCATGCAGGTGGATGCTTTGGGAGGATTCGTAGCTTAGGACTTCATTGGCCTTAACTGGGCTGGAGGCTGGCTTTGCAGGGTTTTAGGGGCCAGGGATTTGGGGTCTCTTATGGGGCTTCAGGCTTCAAGGAGCTTCGGGCCTCTAGAAGGTCATTGTGGAATTTCCTACTTTGACTGCGGAAACCTGCTCAGCGGGCAATTACAAGCTTGGGCCTCCCATTTACGGCCGGAAGCTGCAAACTCTGACAGGCCCCAAGTCAAGCACCCCGCCCGGTCCTTTGCGTCATAAGCCTGGCCCTTCACGGTGCCACCGCCAACGAGACCGAGGTTTCTCCACGCAAGCGCATACATCTCATCCAGCTCCACTGCCTTCACGAAGCAGGCCTGCAGGGCAGCGGCACCGGGGGTGACGACTTGGCGCCCTGGCTGACATGTAGACTTCCAGCACCCATGTAGGTCTAAATGAAATGGGTTCTTCCAATCTCCAAGATCGGGATCCGAGGCCGGAGCAGCAAATGTCTTTAGAGTCTGAGTGGCTAGACTGTGCAGATTGTTTTTGCAGGAGGATTTTGAGGATTTGGGACTTCTGGAGCCAAGGACTGCGCCTGCAGGTGGATGTGTTGAGAGGAGTCGTCGCTTAAGGACTTCTGTGGCCCTCACTGGGCGGGGGGCTGGCTTTGCAGGGTTTTAGGGGCAGGGATTTGGGGTCTCTTCACGGGGCTTCAGGTTTCAAGGAGCTTCGGGCGTCTAGAAGGTCATTGTGGAATTTCCTACTTTGACTGCGGAAACCTGCTCAGCGGGCAATTACAAGCTTGGGCCTCCCATTTACGGCCGGAAGCTGCAAAGTCTGACAGGCCCCAGCCCAAGCACACCCCGCCACCGGTCCTTCAGGTCATAAGCCTGGCCCTTCACGGTGCCACCGCCAACGAGACCGAGGTTTCTCCACGCAAGCGCATACATCTCATCCAGCTCCACTGCCTTCACGAAGCAGGCCTGCAGGGCAGCGGCACCGGGGGTGACGACTTGGCGCCCTGGCTGCCTGTAGACTTCCAGCACCCATGTAGGTCTAACTGAAATGGGTTTCTTCAAACCTCCCAGACCGGGATCCGAGGCCGGAGCAGGAAATGGCTTTAGAGTGGCCAGACTGTGCAGAGTGTTTTTGCAGGAGGATTTTGAGGATTTGGGACTTCTAGGCTCCATGGATCCTCGGCTCCCGCCCTTGCGCAGGAGCAGGCCTGTCTTGCGGGAAGCCCCCCACCCCTAACTACGTAGACCACTTATGACTTCGAGAGTCTTGGGTCCGAGCCGCTGCGATTGAACGAATCAGCGGGCAGCAAAAAGCCCTCGACTGACAGGCCCTGACCCACCCCCAACCCACCCCACGCCCCCCGTCCTTCTTGGCATAAGCCTGGCCCTTCACGGTGCCACCGCCTTCGACACCGAGGCTTCTCCACACAATCGCATCGTTCTCATCCAGCTCCACCGCCTTCACGAAGCAGGCCTGCAGGGCAGCGGCACCCGGGGGTGACGACTTGGGCGCCCTGGCTGCCTGTAGACTTCCAAAATCCATATGTCTAAAACTGTTTTTGTAGGCGAATATTGGGCGTTTGGGACTGCGCATGCAGGTGGATGTTTTGGGAGGATTCGTAGCTTAGGACTTCATTGGCCTTAACTGGGCTGGAGGCTGGCTTTGCAGGGTTTTAGGGGCCAGGGATTTGGGGTCTCTTCACGGGGCTTCAGGTTTCAAGGAGCTTCGGGCGTCTAGAAGGTCATTGTGGAATTTCCTACTTTGACTGCGGAAACCTGCTCAGCGGGCAATTACAAGCTTGGGCCTCCCATTTACGGCCGGAAGCTGCAAACTCTGACAGGCCCCAAGTCAAGCACCCCGCCCGGTCCTTTGCGTCATAAGCCTGGCCCTTCACGGTGCCACCGCCTTCGAAGCCCAGGTTTTTCCACGCATATGCATCGTTCTCATCCAGCTCCACTGCCTTCACGAAGCAGGCCTGCAGGGCAGCGGCACCGGGGGTGACGACTTGGCGCCCTGGCTGACATGTAGACTTCCAGCACCCATGTAGGTCTAAATGAAATGGGTTCTTCAAATCTCCAAGATCGGGATCCGAGGCCGGAGCAGCAAATGTCTTTAGAGTCTGAGTGGCTAGACCAGATTGTTTTTGCAGGAGGATTTTGAGGATTTGGGACTTCTGGAGCCAAGGACTGCGCCTGCAGGTGGATGTTTTGAGAGGAGTCGTCGCTTAAGGACTTCTGTGGCCCTCACTGGGCGGGGGGCTGGCTTTGCAGGGTTTTAGGGGCAGGGCCAGGGATTTGGGGTCTCTTGTGGGGCTTCAGGCTTCAAGGAGCTTCGGGCGTATAGAAGGTCATCGTGAAATTTCCGACTTTGACCGCGGAAACCTGCTCAGCGGGCAATTACAAGCTTGGGCCTCCCATTTACGGCCGGAAGCTGCAAACTCTGACAGGCCCCAAGTCAAGCACCCCGCCCGGTCCTTTGCGTCATAAGCCTGGCCCTTCACGGTTCCACCGTCTTGATTTCCGAGACAGATCCACGCAGGCGCACAGTTCTCATCGAGCTCCACTGCCTTCACGAAGCAGGCCTGCAGGGCAGCGGCACCGGGGGTGACGACTTGGCGCCCTGGCTGCCTGTAGACTTCCAGCACCCATATAGGTCTAACTGGAATGGGTTTCTTCAAACCTCCAAGATCGGGATCCGAAGCAGGAGCAGCAGATGGCTTTACAGTGGCTACTGTTGACTGTGCAAAGTGTTTTTGCGGGAGGTTTTGGGGGGGGTTGAACTTCTGGGGCCTTCAAAATCAAGCGGCCTCAAAGTTGAGCGGCGAGTCTTAGTCTTAGGGCTGGCTCAAGTGGTAACGGGAGGTTCAGAGTTTGCATGAGCTGAACTGTTACTGTGGTTGTAGTGTTCTGGCTTTTTGGCCGTCGTAGGCTGCTTCATGAACCCTCGGCTCCCCTTGTCCAGGAACCCTGCACTTCGAGACACCCCGACAACTCCCTTCAGATCCACGAAGCAGTCAACAATAATTACAAATCGCAATACATCTGCAGGGGTGGAGTAGGGGTCATCAAATGACTGTACGTCTGGGGGTTTCAGGTGCGTAGCGGGCTCGCACTTTACACGTATGCGAGGGCAGCTCCGTCCTTCTTTGAGTAGCTCTGGCCGTTGCGCTCGCCCCCGCCTTTTCGGCCCAGGTCCCAGAATGCCTGGCAGTTTGTGCAGGACAAGCTGACATGATCTGTCGAGGGTACTGTCACGTGGCTTCTTTTGTGGACAGCTGTAACTGCATGATCCAAGCTGTTCTCTGACTAGATCGACATGGAAAACTTGTAATGAACGTTCAGCACATCACCCGAGTTCGAATGTGCTTGAGTACCGAGTCACGCGACCCAGTCGGAGCCGGCGATGCGAAGGAAAACTAACAGATTTACAAGGCAGCAGGTCGTGCATCGCGCGGCAACGCAGCCCGTCATTCATCGCCAAACTTACCAGCAGTGTACAACGAAAGCCTGACCAGCTGAATGATGCCGAAACTTTGTGTCGTGTCCAGCCCATGCAGGGCTCCCGCCCATGGTTGCAAAAATCCTCTTCCTTGCGAATACTGGTGCCCATGGCCTCGGAAAAAGCAGCTGCCTGGTCCCTACAATATACCCTAAATCCTGGGAAAGCCCCTACATCTGAATCTAAAGGTCGCAAGATCCCCTGAGGTAACCATGCTGCCTCGAATCCAATCCCTGGCGGGTCCTGCCTTGGCTTCTTTGGCATCTGCGGGGCTGGGCGAAGCGCTCGGGGCCAGGGCCTTCCACGGAGTGGGTCGGTTTCGGCCTCGAGCCCCTACGACTCGGCACTTCGGGCCCAGCTCGATCTTTGCTTCGGCTATTATATGGTTGGCTTCTGAGTCTCTGGGCTGGGGGGCGTGGTATACCAGAGTACTGTGAATGCACTTCTCTGGCGCTTCTCTTGCGAATGCCATGCAGCTGCCATGTAACTGCCTGACTTTTATTGCCTTATTGAAATCGCAAGCCGTACATATATTGAACGGTTAGCACGACACCGGAACCCCCTCGAGCTCAGCTAGGCGCGACGAAGTCGAAGCAAGCGATGCGAAGGAAAACAGCTGCCGAGTGGATTTACAGGGCATGAGGTGGGCAACTTTAGCCCGATCATCGCCAAACTTGCCAGCCATGCAGAGCCGAGGAAGCTGCCACGGAAGCCATGTGTGAATTTGTGGTGGATGTTTTGTCGAAGGATCAACAAGCGGCCGCCTGCAACCTGAAATTCAGGTCACCAAATGAAAGGCCTCTGTCCCGGTGTTTGCATCCCTCGAGGTTGCGGGTGCAAGTGCCGATTGGCAGGCTTCGAGAGTTCGACGCATCCAGGACATTCTTCCATGCCAAACTCCTGTGTGAAGGAACTTACGTTGCAGAAGGGAGTCTCCTTCAAGAGCACATTTGGAAAAGGCCGTGCAACAAAAACTCTTCTTGCCAACTCGACCCCGTTGAAGGCCTTCTCCGACCGCCGCGCAGCTCTGCGTGGCTGCGGGTTTAAGGCTTTACTTCCCTTTGGTTAGTCGGGAATGGAGGAATGGGGTACAATTACAACTACTATTACTACCATTCTTCCATTCCCTACTAACCAAAGGTAAGTTTATAGTGCTTGCAGAGAATCTCCTGAACCGAACTGGACACCTTGGCAGCTGAGGCAACAGAAGCGAGGACCCCCGAAGCCTTTCTTTTTGGGAGCTGGACATGTAAGGCCGGATACCTTCTGCAGCCTTTGAGCACATGTTTTTCCTGGAATGTAGCATAATGCATTGTATGATATAATGCAGTGATTAATGCATAAACCCTGAACCCTAAACCCTATAAATCCGTAAATTTGGTGTCTCTTTTCGTGTATTCACTTGGTTCCGATCCCACGCGGTGCAGCCTTGGCTTCTTCACCGGGGCCCTGGGCCTGCAGAGAAGCTGGTGGGGCAAGGATCCCGGCGGTTTAAAGGAGGGTTCTTGAGACTCATGGGGCTGTACCTTATGCTGGGGTTTTGCTTACTAGAAGGAAGCCTATTTAGCAGGGTCTGGAGCTCCCATGTGGCGTGCGCAGCCTGATTGTGAGAAGAAGGTGCCAGGCATAGCCAGTGTGTACATTTGCTGTTGATTGCAGGAACAACGGCGGTGCTGCAGGTATCGGGGATGCGACGTCGCGCAGAACCTCAAGCAGATGGTCTACTTCCATGGAACATGACTAGCGGCTGCAGCGCAACAAAACGCACAAGAAACGCTTGGATAAAGTGTAGATGCTACGCAGCCGGATAACCCAAGAAACATCAGCTGCTTCAGGCAAAAGCCACGATATGAAGAGTCCCCACTTCTGGATTCGGCTTGCTGGAGCAGCCTAGAGGCCTCGGGTCTACCGGCATGCTCAAACCGCCGAAATACAGTGCAGCGGGCTGCCTGTTCGTAAGTTGGGGCTTTCTCAGGCCTCGAAAAACCCTGAAGTCAGAAACCTGGGGGCGGGAGAGGGGCATCGCAGCTCATTCATCATCTCCACCTCAGTTATGAAGGATCTTGATAACGTCATCAACGAACCGATCTCAATGCGCATGACCACTGGTGCGCTAACCAAACTTGAGAGACTGCCGTTGGTGTGCCTTCGGTTCTGCTGTTGCTGCTGCATCCGCAACAGACGCCGCAAGGTCCTCCGGGAAGAACAACTACAGGGGAACAATACCTCAAAGGTCTTCTGCAACAGTTTACTCTATATAATTGCTTAGCAAACGCCTAAAGTACCAAATCAATAGAAATCACTTCGGGCTCGCTCCTGCTACGCCCTATGCTAGAGCAGCAGACTGTCTGCAATAGTTGTTCTACTGGTACACTGCCTTAACACCGTTTGTAACTATTGATGCTACATGTTCTGATGTTCAGCAGAAAATTTCGAAGGCCTGCAACTACCCTCAGAAGCGTATGAGCCCGAAATTTGGCAGAGTCCTTGCTGCCGCCGGCCATGCCTTTCCGCAGCGCTGCGGCGATGGGCCCTTGCGGGGTCGATGACGAGGCGCCAGGATCCGCACCCTGCCAAGAACGCAGCTTGGGGAGGTCGGGTGGATGATATTATAATTCTTGAAAGCCTGCCGGACCCCGCAGAACCTGACGTGTTCGGCTATGGCTATAGCCTCTGTGCTCAGGGTTGTTTAGAAAGGTCCCGGTAGGCGTAAGCAAACTTGGAGTGTTGCGTGAAACTCGAAACCCATCTTCGAAGGCGAGAGATGCAGAGGCAAGAGCCGAAGAGCTTCTACCGCCCATGATGGACTACCCGGTATCTGGCCCGCAGAGCAGAGATCTTGTCTTGCTCCATTTTTCAGCATTCTGAAGGACTCCTTGTGCACATTCCTTCGATGATCGAAGTAGTACAGCTTCACTTACTTTTGCACTACCTTCTTCAAAGTATGAGTCTCGAGTAATATGCGGGCCCAAGAAATGACCTTTTGCTACACGCAGCTAGCGGAGCTCTCAGGTGGTGGAAGATGACACGCCGCGTCGAATAATATTGACTCCAACACACGAAGGATATGGTGGCGGGCGAAGTTCAAGCAGTTAAGACCCATGGAACTCCTCCTGCGTGTATACCCGATCTTAACTGCTTTTCTTGACCCCGTGAGTCTTTCGGCCAACTTCTTCAGTAACCAGCGAAACAGCCCCCACAGTCGGAAGTCCAATGTTAATGCGTCCCTGAACTGCTCCGTGAAGACGTTTGGACTGTATATTCCTGCTTTGCGGAGATTGCGCGTACACTCCGCAGTCTTGGACCGCTGTGGCTTCAGAAGTGCGTTCATGCTCCCCTATAAACAAAAACTTACCCCAGGAAGGGTGACTTCCGAAACCCGAGACGAAAGCAAATTTTGCGGTGTGCGCAGTGTGTAATCGCATGCAGCTAAAATTCCGCGAAGATTAAAAGATTTTTGAATAGAAACTTCGATGACACATCAGACGAAGCACTGGTAAACCGGCCAATGTTTGTTCGAGGTGAGCAGGAAAAGCTGAAGGTCCTTTACCACTTGAGCCCTGTCTGTATCGTATTCTTCCCGATGGTTGAGGCTTCTAATTCGTAGGTTGGTTCTGCACGACCGATTCTTCTGCGCGGGTGGAGTGTTCCGGGGTCAGAAGTTTGAAATGCCATGGTTCGCGGTAGCAGGTATCAGACAGCCTCTGCTGGACCTAACTAACTCCAACGAACACAGATCGCGTAGACAGGGGAAATGGGTCCTTCTTGTTCTGGGGCTTCCCTGAATCGTTCTGCCAGGCAGCGTTAATCCGTGATGCGTTTCGCCCTTGGCTATACAACACGATCATACCTGGGGCATCAAGTGACTTGTAAAGTATAAGGATGATACAAGTCCTTAATTGGGGTTAAGCGTCGTTGCCTGTAATTATCCTTAGTTACTAAGTCCCATGATCCTTGAATCGAGGTAGGGCTGCTTGGCACTGTGATTTATGGTGGCATCCTGTTAGCACAGCATCATTGCTGAACAAGCTTCGTCTGTACTCATGATTACGAACTTACTTGCTAGTATCTGTCGGACTCTACTAGTACCCAACTGGACATGTCTCTGAAATAGCACATGCATAAACTTTGAACACAACACTCATGACCACATGCGTCCAGCAGCATACCTGGTCATCCTCTGTTCGGTATAGGGTTTCTATTGCAAGCATAATACCACCAAAGGGTCCTATGTACCTATATAGTAGAATGTAGGGTTTCTATATTAGGAACTACTGTTATGATCCAGGGAAGTATCCCCCATAACAGTACATAGGACCCTTTGGGATAATAATACCAAAGTCTCCGCTCACCCTACTTCAGGATCCCAATCCCTCGCTGTCCAGCCTTGGCTTCCGGCCCAGTGGATGCTGCGGTGCGTGGTGACGGGAGAAAGCCTGCAGCCTTGCAGAGGCGCGGTTAGAGTTCTACGCAGGCGACATCACCGGAATCATTCAGGCTACTTGTAGCAGAATGAGGCCATGACTCATGAGAAGTTATGCTGCAGGAAAGTCTTATGGACAGGTCACTCTTCTGGCAGCCTCGGCATCCTTGGGCGAAGCTGCCTTGGAGGCTGAATGGCTGCCTCGGTCACCATACACATCCTGTGCGGTCGCCCATCCTCGAGAAACCTGAGCTGAGGGAAGCGGCATACCATGCTCTTTCCGAGCCACTGCCATCGTGGAATTCAAACCGCCCCCCTCACCACTCGCCCAATGGACATGAACTGGGTTGGTGCCTACAAGCAAATCCTTCATGGGCAACTTGCTAGCAGCTAGCTGAGCGCAGCGCCTTCCCGTGCCCATCAGGTCTGGACTTGTTGTGCTCGCGCATCGCATTCGTAGCAGTCTCTGCATGATCTGCGCAACACGAAGCAATGATGGCCGCTTTGTTCCTTCTGGTGCTGATGCGGAGCTCGTCGCCTCGGAGGTTTCGGCGCTCACACTCGGACAATCCAGGTAGGGTTTAGGGTTGAGGGTTTAGGCATTGCGCCATTTCACATTGCTTGGGCATGGTCGGCCCCTCAGAGCACGAGTTTATATCTTGCAGGATTTGAGCAGGATTTGTACAATGCTGGCTGGGAAGCTGCTCAACGTGGGTTGTTGATGGTGGGAGGTCTGGAAAGCAGGATTCGTGTAGCCGTGGCGTGAGAATAACTGAGTCTCATTCCAGACAACCTTTGTCCAGCACAATACTACTCGATCAGGTTATCTCGTGGGGATGCTGGTTGATATTGGGCTTGGGGCACAATTTGTTGGCTCAATGATTCTTGGGCAACAAAGCTTGCGCTTGGGCATCGGCCTTCATGGTGGAATTTCAGGCTGAGATTCCCCAAGTTGCCAAGGCGATCCAACCCAGGCTCTGAAGCTAAAATCTCTGAGGACACACCAAGTTTGTTGACCGGTAGGCACTATAAAACCCTGAGAGCAACTAGACACAGAGGTACTGATATGGCTTCACGGAGATGCTGAATGGCATTGGGAAAGGTCAGTTTTGAAATATTGCATACACGCCGTGATTATGTTGCCTGAACGACTACTGCCGCCGAAGCTGCAAAGGTCGTCAAGCTGAACCCTCTTGAAGGTGATGTCCTCAAACTTGAACTGCAGGTCCCCGTTCCAGTAAAACGGGGCCTTCTTCTGCAAATAGGCCGTTTGCCTCAGTTCTGAGCCCGACTGGACTGCGCCAATTCAAGCGCAACTGATCTGCTGAATCTGGTCCGCCCGGAACATGCTACTTCTCTGTGGGTAGAGTCTCTGGATGCGTTCAATCCCTTCGTTGACCACAACTTCCCAAGACCTGGAGTATAAACCTAATTCAACCACACACAACCACAAGGCGAGACTTCTGAGGCTCTGAGCCCCTCGCAAGTCCTGCTGGAGGACGGGAAACTCTTCGCACGTCATCTTGTTCTCGAGGGTGGGCATAATGCCAACCACCACCACCCCTGGACGGTTTAGGGTTCAGGGTTTTTGACACTCAGTCTCGGACAAGCCTGGCAAGGTCTGCAGAAGTAGGTTCGGCGATTCTCGTTAACAACTCTACAAGCAGTTTCACTCATAGAGCTACACTGTCAGGCGAAACCATTGACACGCCAGCAACAAGTATCCACCCATATCTCAGGTTTCAACTGACAGCAGCCTTCCTCAGGGTCACACGACTAAACCCAGCTAGACACCAGACCCCACCCCCTAGTTCAGCCCTTAGAGAGGCAGGTGAAAACAGGGCACGTGGCAAACTTGCATGCACCGTTACTCCAACTCTCAGCAGATGTGTTTAGGGTTTTAGGGTTTCAGGGGGTTAAGGTTTAGGGTTAGGGTTTGGGGTTTAGGTTGCTTTGAATTTGTTGCCTGTAGACTAGCCGTGACTGTGCCATGTCCACCGAAGCTGAGGCAGTCAACAGGCAAGACCTTTTTGAGGGCTCCTATCAGGTTTAGCCCTTTCCTTTCTTACTGTCCTCTGCTTCATGTTTCCCGGTTTCCCTCCCTGTTTGGTGCTTTAACTGGCAGGATCACGGTGAAGTGGATGCTGGCTCGTCAGCTGAAAACAAGGATCTTACGACTTCGACCATCGTCCGCCCGTGTAGGTTCAGTCCTGTTGCCCCATCGTCAATGAGGGTCTGCAGCAGCTGGAAGAGGGTGTGTCGGTAGTGTGAATACCAGTGCATTTGCCGGATGTCTTTGTCCTGGGCAGGGAAGTGAGTTGCAGGTCGCTGTGGGCTGGGATGTGCTGCGTCGCTCAACGAGTGCTTGCGGAAAGTGACATCAAGATTCCAGGCGTAGAGGAAAAGCCATGAAGATGAGCAACGGCAAATGAACCAAACATCACCACTCCCTTTTCCAATGCAAACCCGGCGGAGTGGCAATGTGGGACTTTCATAATATGGGCACCCTCTGCATCCTTTCTTCGGGCTCAGCAGGTTTCTCGGACCACAACGTCTTTCAGGCTTTCGACGATTTCGAGTTTCACATTTTGGGGCTCATAGGGCCTCACTTCTTTTTTTGCCCTTTTCGGGCTCAGGGTTTCTCAGCCTTTTTTAGTGTGTAGGGCCTTCACACCTCGCTCTTTCGTGTGCTACGGTTGGCTCGGGGCTCCGCTTAGGGGCTCGGGTTTTGGCTATCTGCCTCCGCATCTCTCGTTTTGGGGGGCAGTAGGAGTCAGAGTACAGCACGCCTTTTTCAGGCTATGGGCACCACTAGCCCCACTCCATGTAACATCCATCATCCCAACCCCAGAAGACAATCTTAGGAATACTCCAAGATCTCAACCCAACTGACATAGCTCAAAACCGGCGAGGTGTTCCTTATAGAATTTGGTTCGGCGCTCAGGGTTAAGGGGTAGCCAATCCCAAAAACATCCCAAAAACCAGGTTTTCGGGGACCACCAATCCCACCCAAAGCGGGTTGCCAATCCCACCAAAGGGGATTGCCAATCCCACACCCACTCTAGAACCCCAATACTCCTGTCTATCTAGGTGCCAATAGTCAAAATAGGCAAGGGGTTCTCGTAGGATTTGGTTCAGGGTTTAGGGTTAAGGGTAAAGCATTCGCTTTATCTTCTCGGATTCTCCGATCATGTTGTAACTACACTGTAATTATAATATATAACTGCTTATGTATTATAATTACACTATGACTATGCTAATAATAATGCTTCAATTGATTGTTCCACCTTACCCTGCTGCTCCGTGCTTTCTGGATTGGGGTACGCCTTCTGTGATCGTGTATTCTGCGTACTCTCTGTAAGTCTTCCTGTTCAGAGACGCACCCACGTGATTCCCGTGATCCGTGCTTCCTGGGGGTTCAGAAGCTGTATACCAGGGGGGGTCGCCATGTTTTGGGTCCGGATCTCCTGGGTGGCTGGCTTTGTGTACATGATCGTGTAAATTAATGTACAGGATCAGCACAGTGAGCGTCTAAAAAAAAAAAACCTTAGAACGAGTATTTACTCCCCCACATTTGTGTGTCTACTTGAGAGTCACGTGGGTTCTATCTACTTCTGGGTTTCAGGGTGGACGGGTTCCGGCAAGGCCTTGAAGCATAGGCTTGGGATTTCGCGATTATACTTGTATCAGGGTAAATAATAAGTCTTCCAGGTCGTGAATGCATGAAATCCGCCGCCCGAGGACGTGGCCCGGGACTGTGGCTGTGCAAGTATAGACCGGGATCGTGGGTCAAGTTAACATTAAATAGATTTATATATATGTATAGTGCTAGTGTGTGCAGAGTATTTAGGGTAGCATCGTATTCATCGTGTATATGGGACTCAAAAACATAAATGTATATATATATATATATATACATAATCTGGGCTCCGGAAATGTATAGCTGATGCTTGAGGCCTCTATCGCTGTATATAGAAAACCTTAGTGGATAGTGGGTCTAGCTATATATTCAGATACACGGGGTTCCGGATATATATATATATATATATATATAGGTACTGCCCGAGGGCTGTATCGCTTATACGATCTAGCTGCTAACCGTGCCACTTGCATATGTTTCACACAATGTCGATTTTCGATGCGGCGGCGAATTTTTGCTGCTGAAGGTCGGAAACTTAAAGCAGGATTTCGCAGAGTGCCAAGGTGTATGTCGTGAAGCACATAGCTCGATCGTTAGGATTGTAGATGCCTAGGCCGTGCTGGGGCTGGCGATGCTGCTGCATCGTCTAGCAGATCTGCAAGATCGCGATCGCCGCGAAGGGTACCGGTGCCTGGTGCTGCCCGAGCGGGCGGGGCTTCAGATGATGGTTGGGACCTCCCCGAAGAGGATCCAGCCTGGTCATGTCGTAGTGCCTCCCACCCCTTTGCACGCCTGCTTGCTGTGTTGCTGCATGTAGCATGTGCTTTGGTTCGATTCCTTTACCATGCATGTGTTCTGTGCTAGCTGACCTGCAAGTATGCATGCACTACGGGTTGGTGCAGTTTTTGCTCCGACGGCGGGCAGCTAGAGCTTTTTTGCTCGACCGATCGCTGATTTGGAGGCCCCTAAGCTTAAATTATATCTAATGCAGGATAAACAATATGCCTGCATATTTTCGCTTAGGATCGACATCGATATATGGCCCCTGCACATCGGCAGCCGGTAGACCCGCAAGAGCGGGCAATGCAACGAATGTTGCTGGAGGACCGGGATCTAGATTAAATTCTAGATATAAGAACACACGATGTAACAATCACCGCCCGCCAGGATCTTTTGCTGGGCTACTTGCAGGAGAACAACAATCAGCGAATCGATGAGATTCGCAAGTACAAGGCTACACACCAAAATTATTGGGCGATCGGGTTGCAGTGATATTCATAATTGTGTCGACTTCCAACTCAGGGTGTTTCGAAGACAATTCTGGAGATTGTGCCTTTTGGCATCTGCTCGCCTGAGCAGGCTGGGGATTGAAATAAATTTGTGGCACATGTGTTCAAGCAGTACATTTCAATCCTGTGACAGCTGGAGAAGCACTTCAGCTTCTATTGCGAGTATTATGCAACATTTGGTTCTCGACTTCCGCTACTGTCTGTTCACCAGGACCAGCATCAATATATGCAGTACTCTCGTTCGTGGTCGATGTGCTGTGCTAGTTCCTGCCAGGAGGTTGTTGCCTGTGCTGCGAAACGGTTCGGCCTCTTCCCCGAAAACACGAAGAAGGGTGTGATTCGAGTATCGTGCCTGAATTTTTTTATGATGCATCACGATCATTAAGCCTTGAGGGTTATGTACGTCCAAGGACTGGGCTGCGAACGAGGGTGCTGTGATTCGAGGAGCCGGTGCTTACGGTCTTACCTTGGCTCGGCGGGCTGAGGGTGCCAAGTACCTCTTCTAAATCTTGGACTGAAAACTATTTAGAAAAATATATATGTGTATATATAAATATAATATTTGTGATATATTTATTTATATATAAATATCTATATATGAAAAATATATTCACATTGCACCAATAATTCTCTAACTCTGTTCTTCCCTCTTTTTCCCCCAGGTCTTCAGCCATCCTGGCTCTGAAGCAGATCATCAGGCAGACGGTCAAGGAGCTGGAAGGTGCTTAATGCATGGTAAAGCTTCCTGATTTATTAGTTTGGATCCCAGCTGGGGTAGTCGTACTTGCAGGTACAGCAGGCACGAATGTGGACAGCATCCTCGACCGGGCTATGGATGATATTGCAAACGACCAGGAAGCAATGCCAGGCTCCGGATAATGCGAATCTGTTAGCGAAACCCAAAATGACCTACAGCTAGCAGCTTCTATCTGCTAGGATCGGATGTTGAGACCATCGATGTGGATGGGACCCCTGGGCTTGTGGCAACCCGGCTTTGGAAGTTTTGCGCCTACACATAGATGTTAACACTCGTAGTAGCTAGTAGTAGTCTTGTGATCATGATCATGATTAACACAGCCCAGGTCGATCAGCAGTTCGCCACGCCGGTGAAGTCAGCTCTGCAGGCTTTGGCCTCCCCGCCAGTCAGTGCTTGCAAGATTCAGAACTTCGAGGTGGGGGCTAGGATGCGAGATTTATGCGACAGTTTCTGCAATCAGCTTGAGGAGTCCATCAAAGATGTGCGGATGACACCCGATCCCCGGCTAGATATCTTCACTGACACATCCCATATAGGCTTCGTCGATCCTACTGATCCCAGGATGGCAAGTCTGGGCCGGACCCGGACAATATGGAGACCCAGGTTGAGTTCCAGCCTCCTCCGGAGAACAGGCGCCAGGCCGCCCAGGACCACCTGGGCTAGATCTATTTAAAGCATGAACCCTTAATCTCTAACACATTTATTTGTCTACATCGAGATCTAAAATTCTAACCCTTACCCCAAATGCTAGTCATTATGGCCCACAGAATATATACACGGAATTCGGGGTATCGGGGTTGAGGGTCTAGGGCTTCAGGGGTTTTGGGTTTCGGGGTTACGGGTCTCGGGGTAGGGTTTCGGGGTTTAGGGTTTATAAAGCTTCAGGTCTAGGGGTTTCGGGGTTTGGGGTTTTTGGGGTTTGGCCACCGAATCCCAGTATTCCCGAGTGTATGTGTAGTAATCCCTGGATCAAAGCTTCTGCACGGGTGTGCACTGGGGGAAAGGCGGGCTTGGAGTTTGATGTCTATTTAATTTGTACGTATACGGTTCTTAGGGCTTAATCTTGACTTTGGGGTTATAAAGGGTTTTAGGGTTTGGGAGAATAATGTCCCGATTGTGGTATTCTCCTTCGCCACTGTGGCTGCATCAGGGTTTAACTTTTCGGCACTTATTTATATATGTAGCCGAGCACATCTATGTGCTGCGGCAGCTGTACTATAATTATTAATATACAGTAGCACCAAGCAGCAGGAGCAGCGGCGGGGGGCTCCGGATCTTCCAGCTGGAGAACTCACTCTCCAGCACACCCTCGACATGCTGGAGCTGATCGGTGAAGCGGCTGCTACTCCAGCCCCAGGGGAGGATGTTGCCAAAATGCAGCTGAAGGCTAGCTTATATTTAAAGCATAGACCTTAGCAAACCATAGGGTATAGTGTATATTAATGGTTTAAATTACACAACCCTGCAGATGGCGGAAAAGGCCCGGCATGCGGCGGCAAAGGCTAAGGCAGCCAAACTGGAGGAGAAGGAGCAAAAAAAAGAAGAAAAGCAGAAGGCAAAGGCTAAGGCAAAAGGAAAGGCTAAGAGTGCGGCCAAGAAGGAACAGCAGCAGCCT